CGTCCTGGGCTTTGGTGGGGTTCATGATGACCAGGTTGCCCCCGACCAGCTGGTGGCGGGAGCCTGGCTCCAGCTTCATCTCGGTGCCATTCATCTTCCACCTGCAGAGGGGGCGGAGAGGGGCTGATGTGACGAACAATTGCCCACTGCCCAGGGCCTCCCAGCACCACTGCGAGGGTCTCACCTGTAGGTGGCCGGAGGGCTGGCCCGGGCACGGCATGCCAGTGTCACCTTTTCCTCGGTGGACTCCTCTGGGAATAGCAGACCGAGGGGCTGGTCTTCAAAGACAGGCCCAAAGGTGGCCGGGGATCCCCAGGCTGAGCTCCAAGCTGCAGATGGGGGACACCACCAGAGGTCTCAGGGCCTAGGGGCCAGCTGGAGCCTGGCCTCCAGGGCAGCGCTGTCCAACAGAACTTTTGGCAGTGATGGAAAGGTTCCATTTTCTGCCCTGTCCAGTACCGTAGCTATTTGCCATTAGCCACTGTGCCCCTGAAATATGGCTAGTGCAGCTGAGGAACCAGATTTTAAATTTTATTTAATTATAATTAATTAAAATTTGAATTTCAATAGGTTGGGCAGACCCCATCTAGTCACTTAGTTCAGTCAGTCACCCCTCCTATACTCAGATATTGAGTACCTGCTGTATACTTAGCACTGGGCGAGGCCCTGTGTAGCAAAATGAGTAAGACACAGTCCCTCTTCCTCAAGGAGCTTGCGATCCAGGGAGGAAGACAGAAAACTGACAGTAGGTGAGAGCCATAATAGTGGTTTAGGTTCAAGAGCAGGGACCCTCGGAGTGGAAGCAGTCAGGGGACTCATGGAAGAGCTGACCCGCAGAGTGTGAGATGGGCCTTGAGAGGTGCATGGAAGCCACTGGCTAAAAAGGGGGAGAGAGGAGGTGTGGCCCTGGAGCCTAGTGCTCCTTCTGGGGAGGGCGTCCTGAGAGAACGTGCTCTGGCCCTGGGCCTCTATTAGCTGTTACAGGACCCTTCTAAGCCTCAGCGTCTTCACCTGTGAAATGGAAAGAAGATGAACCCCCCTCCCAGGTTCTGTAGCAGGGTTCAGCTTGACACAGGGTGTGTACTCAGCCACTGTCTCCTGGACCCAAGTGAGGGGGCCGGGTGGGGGTCAGGGGAAGAGGAAGGCTCAGTGGTGGGTGGATGACGTACACGTTGCTTTGGGGCATTTTATAAAATTCCATTGTGACATTTCAAGAAAGAGAGGCCCAGAAAAGGGAGCGACTTGCCCACAGTCACAGGGCAAGCCTGTGGCACGCGCAGCTCTAGACCTCGGGCTCCTGAATTTGCTGGGCAGATGGGTATCCCGCATGCAAATGGCATTTTCCTGCCTGGCCCCCTCCCGGGGCAGATGCCTTGCTCTCCATGTCCCCTTGTCCAGGCTCACCGGGGCAGGGTCTGAGAGGCAGAGGGCAGTGTTTCACATCTGCCTCTGTTTGCTGACTGGTGTGGCCGGTCATTCTTTGCCTTTGTGGTGTCAGGCAGGAGCCAGGCCACCCCTAATTGGCTCCTAACCCTCCAGGAAGCTGATTTCAGGCCCTCCTTGGTGGGTCGTGGGGAGATCCCCATTAACCAATTAGTGCCTGCTCTCCTGGTGCATCCAGCTGTCAGCCCTAGTCCAGGGGTGGGGGTGGGCCCCATGCCACAGCTGAGGCCCAGCCTTGGACCCCTGGGAGTGATGGCAGCTGTTAAGCAGCTCTCAGAATGAGGAAGGAGGCAGGGCTCCCTGAAATGGCATCCCCCATCCGCCCTCCCCACCACCCATCACTATCCCTCATTGCCGCCCCAGGCCTCGGAGATGGCGGCGCATCATCTCGGCTGGAGAGCCCAGCTTAATCCTAAGTTAATGATGGTGGTGGAGCGTAGGGACCCCTGCCCCAGCTGGGACTGCCAGGAGGGGAGGGAAAGGAGGGGTAGCGGAGGCAGCCAGGCTGCTGGGAACAACCTTGCATAATAGCAGCTTCCAGTAACTCTGTCTGGATGGTGGTGGGGGGAGGGGGGCGGATGGTGGCTGAGTGGGCCTGGGGCACACTGATACTTTAAGCTTCCAGAAAAAGCTTTCTCTCCGGCATTCAGCCATATACACACCCTCACCCAATATCCACAGACACATGCTTTCCACCTCTCACGTATACACACTTCCTTATACGCACACAGACATCACACATATATACATACATGACTCTCTAAGCTACTCCAGTAGTCAGATATACACATTTATATACACATCCGTTCCCATGCACATATGGCTACAAATGTCCACGTATACTTATTTATATCTACATCTAGGCATTCATAATAACAAAACAGATGCTATTTATTGAGGGCTAACTCTTTACCAAATACCATGCTCCACATTTCTTTCTCATAACCTCTTTACAAAGTAGGCAGTGCCATTTTCTCGTTTGGCTAATGTGAAAACTGAGACTTCGAAGGTTAAATAACTTGCCCCAAGTCACACAGAGAAGGAGCAGATCTAGGGGTGTGGACCCTGGCCAGCCTCCCCCCATAGCCAGCGTCCTTAACCACAGGGCTCAGAATTCTTGACTTCAGTTTCCCATCAGGACCATCAGATGCTGTTCCATCCTGGAGGTACTGAATCAGAATCTCTAGGAGTGAGGCCCAGGAATCTAGATTTTAAAAGGGCCTCACGGGCATTCTGAAGAGCGGATAGAGTTGAGAGCCATGCACTATGTGTAAGGCCTTCTATACACATTCATCATGCCCCCAAATGTAGCATGCCCTCCATGCAATAATAACGCACTCACATCTCCACCCTCTCAAACATCCACAGACACACCCTCACTCACCCCACACCTCCATCTGAAACTACACACACATCCACCCACACATGCACTTTTTCTCTCTCTCACACACACACACACACACACACACTCCCAGGGAAAGCCACCCACTCTGTGCTGTCCCTGTTCGGCATCCTCTCTGATTCTCTCCTGATTCCCTATCCTGACAACTCTGCTCCCCCAAACACAGGTATCAGGATCTCGTGGAGGAAGGAGATTAGGGAGCTGAGACCGTGGAGGGGAAGCCATGCTGCCCTTCTTTGCACTGGGGTGCAGGAATCCAAAGCTGCATCCCCAGGGTAGGTGCGCAAAGACAGCCAAGAGCGGAGGCCCCTTCCTAGGGGGTGGGAAGAGCCATGGGATGTTCCGCTCCTGCCTCTGCGGTTGCTGGAGGTGGCAGACCAGGTCCCGTCTCCCTTGGCCTTCCTGCCTCTCTGGGTCTATGGACCGCGGAGGCTGCACATACTACTTACCTCAGGTGATGGGGTCCCAGCACTGACTGACCCTGAGGGTGGGGAACGCGGAGGAGCCCGGGTACGTCCGCCACTCTCTCTGGGGTGGGTGTCTCCTGCCCCTTGCAGCCTGGGCTCCCCACCCCAGCAGCTCCTCCAGACCTGGGGGGCCCTGGCACTGGGAGCTAGGCCTGGAGCTGGGGGCCTGGGAGGCTCCCCTATTTCCCAGCAGCCTCACTGACTTGGATGCTGGGTTGGGAGGCGGTTAGGACATAATGAGAACATCTGAAACTATGCCAGTGGAGTCCTTCCCTGGTGAGACGAAAAATTTTAAATGTGCTGGTTGCAGCCTTGCAGGGGCTGTGGGGTGGGGGTGGGGTGGGTGGAGCCTGAGGTATAGCTAGAACTCCAGAAGGACACCAGAGGATGGGTACCCTTTCTCCCACGGAGATCTTTAAGGGAAAAAGAAACGTCTATTGATCTGGGCTGAGGGTCAGGGCAGAGAGGCCAAGCAGCGGTTCCAGCAGGCCCCTCCGAGCAGCAGCAGGCTGTTGGAAAGTTTCCCCAGCTCAGACAGCCTGGGGCTCCCATACTGCCTCCCTAGCCCACTCTCCAGAATCCAGCCAGCCCGGGCCTCTTGTGCTGCACTGCTCGGTTTTCCGTACCCTCCTTTTCCTTCTGCCAAACGCCTTCCTCCCCTCTCCCCACTTGAAGCATCCCTGGCATGAGAACTTTTGCTTGGGTCCCTCTTGCCTTTTTCCTGGGCCACGCCCTGCTCTGCCTCACCTCTTCCCAGATCCCATTCCACATTTGGTCCATTTGCCAGGCTTCACTGTTGTCCTGAGGAACCCTCCCAGAGTTGTGTGGTCAGGGCACCCTAGAGCAGTACTATCCAATAGAACTTTCCATGATGATGGAAATATTCCATAAACGGTGCTATCCAATACGGCTATGAGGCCTTGAAATGTGGCTAGTACAACTAAGCAACTAATTTTAAATTTAATCTTGCAGCCTTAAGAGGCTGCAACTCTGGGCTGATGTCATGGAGATCTGGTTGTGCCATAGTCTCGCTGTGTGACCCAGGGCAAGTCCCTCACCCTCTCTGGATCATCTACAATACGACAAAGACTCATTCCCTCTCCTCCTAATCTCAAAGGGAAAGTAAACTCCACAAACAGGAAACTTTTATAAGGAAATGGCCTCAAACTGAAGTGCCACAGCAGTGCAATCAATTATTTCTGTAGTCATCACTAACATAATAGCAATGATATAACACTGTGATCATGCCTGCTAGGCTTCGGAGTCCAGACAAGCCCTCTTACCTGGAGTGGAGACAAGGGCCACAGCGGCCAGCATTAGCAAGTGCGATTTCCTCCCGGCAGGTGTCCCCATGGTGAGCATTCCAGGCAGAAGTGGGAAGCGGAGGAGAGGAGCCTCAGCCCTGCACAGGGAGAGTCTGGCTGGAGGCTGAGAAGGACCTAGGGAGGCAGAAAGACGGGGGAGGACACTGAGCTGAGGAGCGCCCCTGCCAGCTCCAGGTACATCTGGGTCGGCGATGCTTTTGCCTCAGCCTGGGGAGAGGCTGGAATTGCTCTCACCCTCCCCAGGGCCCCAGGGGAAGGGGCTTGGCCATTACCAAGGAACTCTTCCCAGGGCCGAGTGCCTCCTGCTGGCCCCCTGGGAGTCTGGCTCTGCCCTGTACCCTCACCCCACCTCCCGTGCAGCCAGCAGGGTGTTGCTCAGGGAGTGAAAGCAGTGACTAATTGGGAGGCAAGAAGCCAGCGCCTGCTCACCCGGTAATAGCTCTCAGTGCAGGGCCAGAAGAGAGCACGGCCCGTGCCTGGGTTTGGGGAACTAGTAACATCTTCTAGGAATCGGGCCCGCTTTCCCCTGCCCCGCACACAGCTGCCTGGGTTGGGGGTAATAAGCCCCTCTGGGAGCTGCAGCAAGTCTCTGGGAACCAGCCTGTTTTTCTACCAGTGAGGAGGAGTTTCATTGATTAGTCCACACCCTCTCACCTGGACCCCAGGTAAGGCGCTTAGGTACTGTACATGATGGAGCCATAACCTTGGCCCCCTTAGTAAGGTTTCCCAACCAGATGGGCTAGTGGGCCTGGACAGGCCTTCTGGGCCGAAAGAGTTAACGCAGCTCCTAGAGGAGCCTCCCTCTTGCCGAGATGAGCAGAGATTTGGTTAAATCCTGGAGCCCTGAAGAACCTGCTCCCTGGGGGGCACCGAGAGCAAATCAGAGCCCCCGTCCATCAGTCTGAGAGAGGGGGGCCTCATCCTGGGGGGAGAGCAGGTCCAGCCTTCCACCAACTCCCCATCTCCAGGCTGTCTTGCCCAGTTTGGGGTGGGGGGAGTGTGGAATCTCAGGGGCCTGCTTCTTGGTTATCAGACTGAGTCTGGGTCACTGGGCTCCCAGGCTACTGGGAGCCAGATCACCCTGCTGCATATTCTGCTTCTCTGCCCTGCTACCTGCTTTGCAGAAAACTAAGAGCAGAAGGAGGGGATCTAAGGTTGAGGGAGAGAGCCCGGCTGGGGGCTCTTCCACTAATTGGCTTCAAGACCCATGCCATCTCTGTGCCTCAGCGTCCTCATCTGTAAAATGGGTGCTCTCTAGCGTCTCTTCCAGCTCTGAGACTGTGATTCTCCCAGAGAGTGCAGGGTGGCCGAGGGCCTGGGAACGCTGCCCCTGGGTGGGAGTGGGGAGGTGGAGATGGCAGGCTGCTGATGACCTGAGTCTGCCTCTAGGGCCAGTGCAGAGTCCGAAGACCGGTGCAAACTCAGGATCTCCCGGCCTCACTGCGGGCTCTATTCCCCAGGAAATAGAGGGCTCCCAAATGCCCTTAAACCTCAATATTGATCACCACCACCCGTTCCTGCCTTCCCAACAGCCACAGCTGGCACCGAAGGAGTAGGCGGGGGGTGGGGGGAAGAGAGGGGAGAAGTGGGCCCAGGGCCCGTCAGGGAGGATATAGGCTGAGAAGCTTGGTGTTCCGATTTGAGTGGCGGGAGTGGTGTTTAAACAGATGGCACTCCCTCCCCCGCCCCAACTCCAGCCTCATACCCACCTCCCTGTGTCAGGAAGGGGGCCAGGTGCCACCTCTCCACCTGTCCCTCCCTATCCTTGCCACTTTCAGTTCCAGGCTTGAACCCAGAGGTTCAGCACTTCCAGCCCGTCCAACACGCCCCCAGCACCCTCAGCGCAGAATAGGTATCACTTGTGTGTTGTACTTAACCGCTTGAGAACAGCTGTGATTGTGTGCCTCCATGTCACATGCTCACACACACACACACACCCCTCATACTCCCTCTCACACACATTGTCTCTCACTCACACACTCCCTCCCTCTCTTACACACATACACTCTCACACATGCTCTCAGGTTACTGGGGTCAGCAGGGTGCTTAGCCATGGAAGAATCTAGAAGCAGGACCCTGGATGTTACACAAATGCAGGAAGCTGTCCTCATGATAGGGAGCCACTGGGGCACTGGGAACCACAACAGGCGTTGGAATCGATGGACAGGAGTTGGTGACCTTGGCTTCATCTCCTAACAGTGTTGGGAGCTTGGACAAGTTCTCTCCCCTGGTGGACCTCAGTTTTCTCATCTGCACAGTGGAGATCGTAACACTTCCTTTGCAGAGCTGTTCTGAGTGTTGAGTGAGGTACAGAGTGCCCTGCTGAGGCAGTCTTGGGGCTGTTTGGACTTGCCTTCGGGTAGCGGTGGGGATAGGGGCGTGGAGAGAAGATGGGGCACCAGGCCCCCTCCCCACTTCAGCCAGAGCAACTCCACTTATACTTGCTTTATCTGCTGGACTTCCCTCTGAGGTTCCCTTTACTCAAAGGTTTCCGCAGCTCCGAAGAGTCTGAAAATGCCCCTTTGGCACAGGTGTGCCCCGTCCGGAGTCTGGCACAGAGAAGGTGCTCAGTCATTGTTTGCTTCCAGCCCTTTGTCTGCCTGCCAGTCTTGAGAGCTCAGCGAGGGGGTAGGGTGTGGGCTCGGGGAGACAGGCACTTATCCTGAGTGTGTCCGAGCAAAACGGAAACAGACGGGCAGGGACCTGTGGCCGGGGCTGGAGACTCCAGGGACGAGTCTGCTGCTGCCTGTCTGCTGTTGCCCACCAGCAGTGCTGGAGAGAGTGGGGTGGGTGTGCGTGTGTGCGTGTGTACGCATGTATGTGATGTTTGTGCGTATCTGTGTGTTCTGTCTCTATGTCCCTGTGTACATGTGTGGTCTGGTCTTGTGTCTCTGTGTATATGCATGTGTCTGTGTATATCTGGTCTTTGTGTATTGAATATATGCCTCTGTGTGTGTGTGTATCTGTGTGTCTGTGTCTTGTGTCCCAGCCCTGCCTTGTTTCCCGGTGATCTACCAGGAGCCCTGCACCCTGGATCATTCACCTCCACCCCACAGTGGTCAGAATTATCTGTTATCTCTCTTATTACCATACATCATGGATAATACAATCCCTCTGTTCATCCTAAACTTCGATTTAATCCTGGACTTTTATCAGTCACTTCTGGGCTCAAGGGCCCTGGGCACCCCCTGGGGCCTGAGACCTGCAGCCTCAGGGAGGGGCTGGTACCAGGTCAGGGAGGGGCTGGTACCAGGAAGCACCTAGGGTTGCCCTCGGGGAGCATTAGAGGCTGATCAACCCAATCAGATGTACATTGAGCCAAGCCCACTCCGTGCTAAGGCCTTGTGTGAACGCACATCCCCACCCCCCCCCAGGGCTTGGGTCAAAGGTTGGAGCTTATTTCCTCCCTGACACGAGGCAGTTGGCATGCAGCCTTGCCCTGCGTCCATTCCCACTGCGTATTTAACACCATGTGCCAGGCATTGTGCTAAGTGCTGGGGAGGCAGGAATAAAAACACCGCCTTTGCTGAGCTCCCTGCCCAGCTGAGTGCAGCAGGGGATGTGCTCACGAGCTGCATGGGCCAGTCGTCTCCCCATACCATCTGCCCTGTGACACATTCTAGAATACCCAGGATGGAGGAGGCCTTTTTGTCAAGAGCAAGGCCGGCGTGGAGCTATGCCAGGCCTAGAGCTGGCCCTGTGGACCCTGAGCCAGCCAGGCCTGGCCCCGGCCAGCTGCCCTGGTGCAGGGGTGCAGGCACAGGCTGGTACAGGCAGACACAGGCTGTCACCATCCAGGGCCTGTCCTGGGAGAACGTGGGGGGCTCATAGGCTGCTTGGGGTTCCGGGAGACCAGGGAGAGCTGGCCGAATTGCCGGGCCCAGGACACAAAGGGCCCGGAGGACAGCTGGGGATGGAAGGCTGTGAGCTGGACTCCAGGGTTTGCTGGCTGAGGGCCCTTGCACAGAGGCAGTCGGAAAATGAAAGACACACTGCACCCAAGTGCACCCAAGTGCTTTCCCTTGGGGTACTGAGCTCCTGGCCCCAAGCCTGTCTCTCCTTCCCCCTGGACAATGGAGATTTGAGCAGCTTTGGGATGGGTGGTGGTAGGAAAAGAGGGAGTTTGGAGCCCATTTGAGGGCAGAGACTAAGTGACTTGTTGTAAGCTGACAGGTATTATAGGAGCCCCTCGTGTCCCCACCGTGCTCCACCTAGCAGGACAGCACACTGGCTTAGTGGGGTGGGCTCTCGCGTTGACAGGCCTGACACTTACTAGCCAGTGTAACCTTAGTAACCCCAGTTATTACGTTCATTACTTAACCTCTCTGAGCCTCAGTCTCCATCTGCAAAATGGGGATGAGAGGGGTAGTACCCACCTCCCGGGACCCCTGTGAGGTCAGCACAATTCCTAGCCCATAGTAAGCGCTTGAGAAAGATCAGAGCTCATCACTGAGAACCCTCATGGGCCTCGAGCACGGACCCCAGCACACTGAGGGACACACAAGTGTGTCGACAGACACTGTGCCCGGCTGTGGGTCGGGCTCACTTCCACACAGTCGTGACATTCGGGCCAGGCTCACATGTGTCGAGAACGGTGAGAGTCTCCCACAGACTCCCTGGGCTGTACCCCACAGGCGTGGCAGGCCTGGGCCAGCACCGGCGGGCATGCCGTTCCAGACAAGGCACAAGGACACACAGAGACACGTCCAGACACCACGTGTGCAGGAGAGCACCTGGCTCGGACACCCACGCGGGCCCCCCCAAACAGGTGCTCAACCTCAGCCACTGCACCTCCTGCCTGTGGGGTGTACGATGGGAGGGGGACTCTACCTACGAAAGGAATTGCCACCTGGGACGGGACCACTGTCTTCCGGGAAGGTCTGAGCCATGCCCACACCCCCTGGGAGGATGGAGTGTCTTCAGTGGCCTGGTGGGCCCGCGTGCCTGGTGGCAGGAGCTGGCAGGAAGAGGACTGCAGTTGAGAGGCCTCGGTGCGGGCGGGGGTGGTGCGCTGAGCTGGAGGAGGTCCTTCGGGCATATTTGGGTGGGATAGGGACCTTCTCAGTCCCCACTGGGGGACAGGGACTGCTTGTTGACAGGGCAGCCTTGCAGCTGGGCCCTCCCCAGCCTGCTCTGTGTGCTCCCTCTCCTCCCACCCCTCCGTGTTCTCTGTGGCCTCTTTGTAGTCGCAGCTGGTTCCCTGAGGCCCCAGCCCCGGCACTGCCGTGCCCTCTGGGGACAGCTGTGACTCCCAGGCTCGTGGCTTTGCCTGAGCTTTCGGCACGGGGCCGGGGAAGTCCGGCCCTTGATCTGCAGCCGGGAGTCTTTGGCCCTTCTGCCCCCGCCCTCTCCACTGAAGAGACCCCTCAAAGTGGGGAGTGGGCAGAAGGGGAGAGCCTTGCATTCTCCTGGGAGGACCCGGGGGTGGGCAAGTAGCACCCAGACTCGAGGTTTTCCTACTTGCCTGCCTACTCCGTGTGGGGTCTGGGGGCAGAACGAGTGAGGGCTTTGGGAGGGGGGCCCTTTTGAGACATCAGGCATAGGAGCGATTGTTTCAACTTGGTTCAGAAGATCCAAATCGGGAAGAAATTACTGGAGCAATTTTGCATGTCCCCTCATCTCTGCTGAGAGGTGACTCCCTCTAATTCCTGGACGGCTGGTTCAG